TCTTTTGACAATTGCCTTATTTCTACTGAATCAATATCAACATTGTATAGAATAAAAAGGAAAGAAAACAATTTTGAATAAACTATGAAGCCTAGGAAATTAAAATCAAGGACAAATTAAAAAGAAAAACTAAAACAGTAAAAGAGATTAAGAAATGTAGGAAGACATACAAAATGAAATCTGATTTCTGTAAAAGGTTCGTAGATCATATGTAATTCATGACACAAGGTTATTTTTAATTTGAGCCCCATTGCACTTTTGCATGGTATGTATGTTAGGATATTGTTAAAGCTTGGTTCTATTGGCTATTGCTACAAGTATCAGGACATGCTCACTTTTAGTGCAATGGGAAGGTGGTACATGAGCGTCAAGTCTCCCAGGAGCAGGTTTTTATGCACTAAATGCCATAAATGGCTGGAAACACACAAGGATGGAGAGAAGGAGAATGGCTTATTGGTCAGGCTTTGTGTTAAATATTTTTTTTTTTTTTTTTTTATTCCATCAGATTTATGATAATACCTAATTCCAGTAAAATAAATTTATTCATAAACTGGATATTTTTCTTCATTTTGTAAAAGTGAACAGACCTGAATAAATTTGTCTATGACATTCTCACCATTAGAAGGCACATCCAATATAATATTTTAAATTTAATCCTGTTCAGCAATTAAATATATTGAAAGTATGAGATTATAAACATGAAGACTTCTCTCAATCTTCAAATGCCTGAGTTTCTTCTCAAAAGTTAACAGCATTCCTCATTTATCATGTGTGTGTGAAACTGTCAAGGTCAACCACAGCAATAACAAATTTGTGGTTATTGCCTGGAAACATATCAATTATGAGAGTGTCTCTTTTATATGTCATGTCCCTTTAAGGATGTGGGCAATCATGGCTCTCTAAAACTTTAAGGCTAGAAAAAAAGGGGGGGTCTCAACCACAGAACCTTCACTTTATTCAGCTATATTTTTCAACTACCGCTAACTACAAGACAGAAGATCATTGAAAATTTCAGACAACCTGTGTTATTATCTTTGCTCATGACAATATATCATCACTGTAAGATGTGTGACTAACCCATTTCTCGGTATTTAGAAAAAAAACAAAAACAAACATCTTCCTTAAAGGAATAAAATATTATACCAAAACAGTTCTATGTCTAAACATATTAAAAATTCAACTTGGCATATTTGAAAGGTGTTTTAAAGAAACCAAAATCATTTAAAGAAATAACTATTGTTCATTGAATTATTAACAAGGTAAAAGTGCATGTTGCGTAAGTAAAATAGCTTACATTATTTACATTATTCGGACTATTGTCCTCAACTTTTTCGCCATATCTATCACAACGTTTCGGCCGTTGTATGCTCCGGCCTTCTTCAGGTGGTTGGAATGTCGAACCAAACCCTTTATTTCCCTTTATTAACTGATAACCGACATCCATCAAACATGGCACGTGGAACTAGAACAGTCTACCCCAGTGAGCAATTAATGTAAATAATGTACATAATACCTCATCTCAGAAATATAGACAGACTCTAAAATAGCTTAACTTCAAAAACGGTTCTTGTCTATTTAAGATTACAACACAAAGATTATTAGAAATTAACCCATGAACATCAAATGACAGAAAATTCCATTGTTACAGTTCTAGTATTCACCAGCAAATTTCTGTCAACAATTAAATATTGTGCACATTTGCAATAAGATTGTGAAGAGTAAGAATGTCATTATTCTAAAAAGCACATTTTCTTTAATAAAAACTCTTAAAAAGTCCCAAACTGGTAGATAAAAATTCTACTCTTTTCAAAAAAAAGATAGATTCCTTGAAAAAGTCTTGGATTTTAGATATCAGAATAAAGTTAACATATATCGACTTCAAAAGAAGCTAAAGAGAAATGTGTTGTCTTACATAAGAGTAATTGGACCTTTGCTTTGCCATCATCTTCTTCATGGCTGGGCAGTTTAAAAGCATGTCAGGTTATACGGTTATTTTCCCTACAGACACTATAATTCACATGTTTGAAGCAAAAGAATTAGAATGGCATGAACTTGACAGAAGAGTGAAAAAAAAAAAAAAATAAGAGAGATCTTAGAATCATTGAAAAAAGAATTAAATCAATTATTAACTTTATACTTTGAGAAATTTTCACAATGAATGCCAGAAATTTGTGCTGCAGTAATAAAGGCTAAAGGAGAATATTTTTTGCTTTTTCTTTTTGTCATAATAAATTTTCTAATAAAAATATTTTTTACTATTTATAATAATTTTCTCTTATTTAAAGTCCAAAACAATTACTTTTTGAGCCAATTTAAAAAAATTACCAGGAGTGGCCTAAAACTTTTGAACTGTATTGTAGGTTCAAACCCTGCTGAAGGATACATTTTCTTTATCAAAGACTCTTGAAAAGCTTAGGCCAATTGACAGAAATTATATAGCATCTGTCTATATTTCTGAGATGAGATATTATGTACACAATTTACATTATTTGGACTATTGTCCAAATCTTTGTCACCATATTTATTACAACGTTTCAGCCGTTGTATGCTCCAGCCTTCTTCAGGTGGTTGGAATGTCGAACTGAACTCTTTATTTTGCTCATTGGGGTAGACTGTTCTAGTTCCACGTGCCATGTCTAACAGATGTCAGTTATCAGTTATTTCCTGTTAATTCCCCTCTCCAAGTTCTCCACTGCCTTAACCAGGTATTGAACTCACAACTCTTTGGGTCCTGTCACTGGATCTAACTAATGCCTTTATCCACTGTGCCAATGTGTCCTTGACTTTTCAACCACCTGAAGAAGCCAAGAGTGTACAACAGCCGAAACGTTATAATAAATATGGCGACAAAGATGAGGACAATAGTTCGAATAATGTAAATAGTGTAGCAATTATACTGTTTAAAAAAATAACAAAAGACAAAGAGATGTTTACTCAATCACATGTTTCAATTATACAGAGTCTATCGAAAATTACAAACTTTGGGGGTTCTTCACATCAAAACAAAGACAAAAGTCCATATAAAAACATGTCCACAAATCCTTCATTTTTGAGTTATGAAGTTTAAAAAAAGTTTACAGTAAATGGCGCTGTGTTGCCACGTAGACTGGGTTACATTTGTTATTCATGTACATTTGTGACTAGTCTGACTTCAACATTTAATGTGTAGTAATAGTAGTAGTGAGTTAACTGAGAAGTGTTCTATTTAACCAATGGTAGGATATACATATTGTGAACAGGCAGATATGATTTTTACATATGGCCGTGAGGCTGCACGGCTGTATTATATTTCATTTCCAGACCGAAGGCAGTTGAGTCATCCAACCTTTACTGTTGTATATAATTGTGTTGCTCTGGCACCACAAACTATGGATCAGAGAAGACCAACATCTGCTTATATGCCTGATCACAATGAACACATTCTCCAGGCTGTTAGAGATGATCCAGGTATCAGCACATGTCAAGTGGCCCTAGCATGTCCTACATTTTCTAGTACCTCATGGAAGGTACTTCAAGAGCAGTTCCTGTATCTGTATCATTTGCAACATGTAGATGGACTTTTGCCCTCTAATCACTCAACACGGGAGAATATTTACTAATCATTTATTGCACAAACTGCCAATCCATTGTTTGTCTCTTCAGTCTTGTTTACAGATGAGGCAACATTTAGAAGAGATGGAATAACTAATTTACACAACCAACATTTGTGGGTCGATCAGAATCCCCATGGTACAATACAGGTTAGACACTAGCATCAGTTTACGATTAATGTGTGGGCTGGAATTGAAGGTGACTGTCTGGTAGATGCATATGTTCTTGCAGTATGTCTTACAGTAAATATCTACAGGGACTATTTTGAACACACTTCCAGACCTGCTAGAGGATGTACCCCTGCTAATATGAAGATGCATGTCGTTCATGCATAAGCGGCTCCAGCACATTTTAGTCACATTGTTCACAATGCACTGGCTGACATCTACCAAGAAAGATGGAGAGGTAGGGGAGGACCAGTTCCATTGCCTGCACATTCCCTCAACCTCTATCCTTTGGATTTTTATCTGTGGGGCCACCTAAAACAATTGGTTTCTGCAGCTGATATTAAGAATGCAGAGACACTTCATCAATGTGTCATGGGGTCCTATGAAACCATTTGACAGTATGTGGGTATATTTGAAAGGGTCCACCAGCCAATGAGTCGCCGGATGCATGTGTATGTAGAAGCAAGCGGAGGACATTTTGAACATTTGTTATGTGCTGCTGTGTTAAGGCACAACGATGACCTTTTGGCCATATGTTTCTATGGACATTTTTACCTTGTTTTGGTATCAGAAACCTGCCTCCAAAAGTGAGTAAAAGTATTTTTGGATTGTATATTTAAAAGTGTCTACCGTAAACTTTAAATTTAATTAAAAAAAAAAAAAAAAAAAAATATAACTATGGATTTGTTTGTGGACATAGGTTTATGTGAACTTTTGTTCTTGTTTTGGTGTGAGGAACCGGCCCACAAAATTTGTAAAAGTATTTTTGATACACCCTGCATATATATAAAACATTTATAGTATATATATATATATATTACATACAACTTAAAACCGCAGGCAAATATGGAAAAACAAAAACAAAGAATTTCCTGCAGAATACAGATTTGAAATTAAAAGATTTATAAGCAAAAAAAAAGTGTCAAAGAATTAGGATGCCAACAATTCTAAATTATTACTGCTTTCTATAAACAATGTTGGTTGGTTGTTTTTGTTTAGCGCCATTTCAACCATTTCCAAGTTATTAAATGCCAAAATCTACATATTTTATTTTTGGCAATAATAATAGTTTAGGGATACAAGTCTTACTAATTAATCCCCATCTGGAGGGAGAAGTGGTGGATTCATACCTTTTCCAAAGGTATTTGCATGTAAATGAATATAACTGAAATTGGAACTCTAATCTCCAATTAACAATTCCAAGCCATTATCCATTACACCACCTGCAAATCCAAGCTTATACAACCTGGTATTCCCAAGTGGTCACCCATCTAAGTACTGACCAGGCTCGACATTGCTTAACTTCGATGATCATATGTGAACTAATGTTTCAACATGATGTGGTCGTAAGCTTCCTATAAACAAAGCAATAGAAATGGTAGCAAATATCCCTGCTTGCCTAGCTAATTCCCAATAAGTTCATTAATCAAAACAACCATTGAAATAAAAGGAAATAAGTAATTAGCTAAGAATATATCAGCCAGTTTTTTTCTTTTCTGTTCATTCCCTACATTTTTAGTAGAGAGACCACCCTTTCCCTGCAGCATTATTGATTATACACCTGAAGAAGAATGAAGGGCTAGCCGAAATGTCAGTAGTAACAACAAAAGTAACATGAAAAATGAGTTCAGTACTTTCAACAACTCTTGGAATGATAATGGCCTGTGGAAGGTTGAGGAAGGTGAAAAGGTGGCCTTTTAAAAATATTCAAGTCTTCCACAAATAGAAAAAAAGAAAGCAGATAAAGTACAAGTCCAAAATTTTTATATTCGAGACATGGTGTTTTTTTTGTTTTGCCATGTCATTGTACCTCACTTGCTCAAAAGTGAAGGCCAATCTTGAATCTTATTATTCCACTGGGAGTGAAGATTTTTAGTTTGGGTTTGTAGTAGTTTGCTGCTGTAGTTGGTTTAAGAAATTCAAAGAAAAAAATAGAGATTAAGAGCAGAATTAATTTGGCTCAAAAAAGTTAATCCTCTTGGAATATTTTTTCTTTGCTATGGTTACATTTCAATTAATACATAATTTGACAAAGCTTTGGATGCATCACTTCCCATGCTGTTAAAAATGGCATATGAAATGTTATATGCATTTTAATCTTTGAATTAATTATCCACGTTAAAACAGTTTTAATAAAACAGAAACAATATTAGAACAATGAATTATAGAACGCAAATATAACATGAAAAACAAAAAAGTAACTTTTAATTTTATTTATTTTATAGTTTAGTAATAAAGTAACAATTGTTATGTTGGCTTAGTCTGTCGTAAATATGTTGGGTTACCTCCTAATTTTCGAAACCACTACTAGGAGACATTCTCAGGACTATAAATAGGCAGTGACATACTTTATCACCCCTTTTTTTTTTTCCTTTTTCACTCAACGAAAACAAAATGTAGGTTGAACGAGGAAAATACTTTCCAACTGGGAGACACACATGCATGCACACACCTTTCACTAAGATTTTTTCCCACACCAAACTACACACAATTCACTAATTTAAATGTTTTCTTCCTTCATGTACATCATTCAGTAACACACAACAATATTCTATTGTGTATGTTTACCCTTGTTTTGTTAATACATACATTATCATTTGTTTGGTTTTTGTCCTTACCCACATTTATTTATGTGGACTCACATCCTGAGTCTGCCATGTTTGTTGTAGGCATTTCAGGAGACCCACATGTCTATCTCTCAACACATACACCAGCCAGCAACAAACATACTTTTTATGATTATAGAAATACATAGAAAAAATGACTTAAAAACATGTGATTTAGTAGTAAAGTTGGGTTAATGTTTTGTACACCTTGTTTGAAATATTTAAATATATCGGATTAAATTTATTGAATTTTTTTTTTTTTTAAGTGTTTCACCCCAAGCAAGGCGGGAAGCCACTAGCATGCAAGGGGTTACAGAGGGTTGGAGCTAGAGCAAATAGGAGTGAAAGAGGAAATTATGATGTTAACTTTATATAACAATGGATTTTCCTTCATTTTGTAATATAAAAATATCACCATTACTCCTATTTTAAGTCATTTTAATGGTAAACAAAACAAAAATTCAGCATACTTTTTTTTTAAATTCCTTTTGGAAAGAAAATTACAAATTTATTAGAAATATATTTGTTGTTACAAATAACAATATCATATAGAAAAATATTAAATTAAATTTATGTAACAAATAATAACATTTTAAATAAATTTTGCAGTGTAAAGACAGAAATGAAGAAAAAAACCCTTCAGAAGAAAAGTCTGTTAAAAATCAAACAAAGCATTTATTAATATTAGCTTTCTTGGAAAAGACTTTGTAACATTTTTAACAAGACTAGAAAAAATATTGGATCATTGCAAATGTTTGCGCCATATTTTCATTGTTATTAATTTTCTAATCAGATAGAAACTTTTGCAAGGATCTAATAGGATGAATAAATGATTTATTTAAATGAAGTAAAATTAAAATGTTACATTTCACTATATGAAGTAAGGTAAGAATTCAACATCAGTTTTTCATCTGTTAGAAACAGAAATATGCAAAAATAAAATTAATCATTAATGTATTTGCTTTTATGAAGAAAAAATTTAAAGAGAAGAAAATTAACTAAGTGAAAAGTTTTACATTAACTTCCAAGTGATAAGTAAAAATTTCCTAAATTACATCTTTTTAGTAAATTTTGCACAATAAAATGTTTTTTACAATGGAAACAAAATTATATCAAGTCTAAAGGAAATAATAATAATATATATATATAATCTTATACATACTTAAATTAACTATGCTAAAGTTATTGCAAATATAAAAAAAAGAAAATATTTCTTAAGCCAGCTACAACAATGAACTACCCAAACCAAAACTCTTTGCTCTCAGGGGAATGCTGAGATTTGAGATAGGTTTCCAATTCTGGACAAGAGATGCATTATGACATGTCCTTTAGTAAAGAAGGCCATGATTCCAGAAAGTGTTAACAAAAATTTGTTAAAAAACAAAACTTTTTTTTTTTTTTAATCCAGTCTCTTCTTATGAAGATATATATGTGTCGTATGTCCAGAAGTCGCTTTCTGTCTGCAATCCGTCTAGTCTCGTCGAAGCCTAGAAAAGCAGTGGCCTCCCCGTCCACTCGCCGGTTTTTAATCGGTAGCGTGGTTCTCTTATGCAAATAAGTCTGCTGCATAAAAATGGCAGTAGGCGCACGCGCGACCGACTCTCAGAGAATGGTTCGACACGCGAGGCAACAATTTCGCTTTTTTGCTCCTGGTAAGTCACTGTCACTCCTATTACACTCCCCCTGATCGTATGATCACATAAGTGACAGTGAGGGGCTGGTCGTTTCACCCTTGCACTTCTTCGCGGTGGTATAACCATGACTTCCTCCTCGGCTGAATCGTCAGATGTGTCCTGGTCTGAATCATATTCCGGGGGATCATTAAGGTTCATTAAGGTTCAAGTCTACTTCTTTCTCGCTTTCAGATGAGGTGTCGCTGCTGCTTGCACTGGAGCTTGGTTCTTGCCATTCATTACTCCCTGACGTTGTGTCACCGCCATCATCCGTTGGTAACAATGAAGTGAGCCGTGGACGTACATCTCCCACATGTCGCGGTATCCCGTCGATGACTACAGACTGCGGACTGTTTATTCCCGTGACACGACCTTTCACAAACTTTGACGTGCAGCGTCCGTGCGGATTTTTTACCCAAAATGCATCTCCTTCTTTATACCGAGTCGAAGTTGCCCGGTTAGATATGTCAATTCCTTTTATTCGAATTCTGTACGAATGCAGCAGATTGGCGGGCGCAGAAGAGGCAGACACATCATCCCTGGGTGTAATGTTATACCAATACACGGCCTCCATAATAGAGCAGCTCTTTGGCGAGCAATCTGTTTGATTGTCCGATGACACCTCTCTACAATACCATTTCCAGATGGTTTGTATGCAGCAGATCCGGTCGGAATCAGACGCCCCATTCTTCCATGAATTGTTTAAATTGCTGACTGCGGAATGCAGTGTCATTATCAGCCAGGATTTCTACCGGGGCACCACGTTCGAAAAACACCGACTCAATTGCCGGATTACGTGTGCAGCGTCTTGCCGAACTAGTGGTCGCCAGATCGAAAACCGTGTGGGCCGCAATCGATCAGAGTCAAAAATGGCGACCCGTTATAGTGTGTAATGTCCATTCCCAGACGACTCAAGTTTCACGCACACTGAGCTCTCCCTTCTGCCATCGCACAGAAGCTGGATCTATTGACTGACACTGTTCACAACCCGAGCGACCGATCTTACTGCTGCTTTCGACACGGACGGGTTGATCCTACGATGTGAAATATAGTGTCCGTTTAACTCCAGGGTGCCCGCTGTGTCGATGAATCTCAGTTAACTGAGCAAGGCTCTGGTTTCCTACAGCAGAAGCACATACTGGTTGAACAGGTTCAAATTCCTTCACATTGTTGAACCACTTCTGGGAACTCTCGTCAACAAGTCAGCTCGGTTCTGGTCGGATCTAACTAGCGCTATGTCAACGGAAAGTTTATACTCTTTCACAAGAGACGTTAGAGTTTCAAGTCGTCGCCTTATGAGCATCTCGCTAAGCGGCCTTGGTGTTCAGCCGAGACTTTCCCGTAAGGGCATTAGTCACCCAATGGTACACGCAGGGAGTCTGTGTTCACATGTAATACCGTAGCCTGCCATTTTAGCGCGAGGTTGATTCCCTTCAGTACGGCATCCAGTTCAGCCACATTGATATGCTGGGGTTTTTTATCGGCCGTAGCCTGCATAAATCCTCAATGATAGCTCCCTTAGCCTCGGCGCTTCTCCGACAGCCAGTGAACTCGCGTCCACCCACACGTCTAGCTCCTTCGTATTCACGCACCATTCTCCTGTGCAGGATCCAGTTGCTGAGCCGGGCAAGAGTGTCCGTTATCATACGTTCGAGGGGAGCATCACAAATGTTGTCGTCTCAGTTCTGCGCGCACGGCAGTGGCTCGACGTTTGATGACGCCTGTCGCCACTGCAGCCATCCACACACGGGAAGTGTCCCACCAGCCGGCCACACATGGAGAAAATACCTCTCCGTGTCATAGTCATAGGGCCGTCTACCATTCTGCTTCCTCGTCGCCATCACAGTCGACCCTGTTCCTTCCATACTTCTAGCCCCAGCACTCTAGCTCCGTCTTGTAACTTCTCTGGATCCTTGCTCATCAGTCCGTAGAGCTTGAGATGTTTCCTCACAGATTCTGCCGACGCCACATCCTCGTTGATATATATATCATCAATATATGCAGACGTTGCTCTATTTATAGTTTCATTCTGTGCTAACACAGCATTAAGCACAGCTCGCATTATCAGGGG